AACCAAAACTTCTTGGATAACCAAAAAATCAAAACCAAAACTAAAATCAACCAAGATAAAATTTGCCGCCACAAAATTCAAAATATAAAACAACTCAAAATTTAATCACAACCATAAAAAAAACAAAAACTGCAACTAAATTAAGACATCTCTATCAGATGATTGGGAATCCCTCAGAGGAGGTAACCTATGGTTGCTAACAAGACTTCCCACAATCTAAATTAAAGTATGGAACTCATTGAGTTGAGTTTATTAAATTCATTTAGACTAAGTGAATTCGAAAGAAAATAGTAGTACTGGAACGAGGGAACCGTAGGATCCTAACCGTTGTCGCTCTAATCAACTTTAACATGCCCCATAATATTTAAATAACCATGACCATAGGAACATTTGATTTGACATCATAACTTGAGACATTAGAAAACTTAAACTCGTCACGAAGAGGAGCACTATATTTTTACAATTATCATTGTGGGCAACACAACCATCTTCAACAGCAAAACATGTCTACACCAGCTGAACCATTCCTTAGAACTAAACAACAAATCCATAGGATTTCAAGGTTATTTGCTTATGCAACATAAATCCTCAACTTATCTTTAGGCCTTTGTATGACTCTGCTATACAATATAAACCCTAACAAGTCTTAGGTTTTTGAGGTTGTTGTTTGGCATGACTTAAATCTTCACATCTTTCAGGCTATTTATGTGATCGTTTCACACGAATGTAAGCCCTAACTAATAAAAATTGGCAGGATGAAACATCTAAACAATTTCTACTCAAAATTGAAGCCAAACCCTAGGATAGACTAGGAAGTCACCGAGATTCTCCTTCAGATATGTGACATCCCCTAATTCTTCCTTCTTTGGACTCTACAACAAAATGTTCCAAGTTTAGGTCATTCCCCTTTCACACCTCTTTGTCCGATCTCATTGAAAAGTCTTATCCTTTTGACCTCTAAGAAGAAAATATTCCCTAATTTTTATCGAGAGTTTTCTTAGGTGACTTCGGTTATTTAAGATGTAATTAACTATAGGGGCTTGCCCTTATAGGAAGCTTTTACAAACCTAACTTAATATAAACTCTATTTAATTATTTGTATTAGATAGGGGAACTTGTCAGCAAATAAAATGATTTTCGCGGACCAAACAGATGTCATATATTTCTTAGTTTATTTGATCGAGCCTCACCATTAAGTCTTGTGTTTATCTCTCGGGATAGATACAAAGTTTGATGTACAATGCTCTTTCATTTAAGCTATGAAAAATATGGGGTCAGTTTGATTTCATATTTTTCTAAACTTATATGTGACGGGATTCCGATTCTGGCGGCCGACAACTTCTAACAGGCAACTCCTCCAACCAAAATAGTGCTAATAGTAGGCGCCAACCACTTGGCGCCTAGGCTCCATGATGCTGGCACCTAGGCGCCACACTCATGGGCACCTAGACTCCCATGCTATTCCTTGTAAACTAAGAGAAGCAACTGCCTGAAGCAGTTTGTTCTGGTAGTTTGAGAAGCCTATCCTAGGGAGCCTTAAAGAGTTTATTAGGAAGTTGTGGGGTGATGTTTATGCTAATAAAGTGAGTATATATATATGGTATGTATCTGAGACTTAAAGGTATGATGAAGGAAGGTCTAGGATTGATAAAGATGTGAGAATTGTTTAGATTGGCTTGCTGTAAAGTCTATCCTTCTTCTTGTAGTGCACATTATAGGGAAAACCTTCAGAAGCAATAGCCAGGAGTCATGAGGAGCATTGTTTGAACATCCTTAAGTCATTGTAAAGGAAAGGAAGATAAGTTTATTGTGTCTTTATTATTGTATTCATGCTTCTTGGGAAGATTGCTTTACCTTACGATGTGATGATTAAGTAAGATGTGTAGAAATGTTAAGGTTTGTGAAATTACTTTTAATTTTTGAATGTGATGATTAACCTTCATATCTTCATTTACTTTTCATTCTGGCCAAGTGAAATGTTAAAATGTGTTGTGCATCATAATGACTCGGGAGAGCTATAGTAAAACCAACTAGGTTAGTCACGTTGAACTGTGGAGTATAGGTGGTTATGACTCATAGGTAGATGCAAATGTTAGGGAAATATTCTTTGATAGGTTCAAAATGGGATTTAAGAAATTAAAGTAATCTTAACTAATCATTTTTAGCACTCGGGAGAGGGTAAAGAAGAGAGTGATCCTATTTGTCACTAGACATTTTTAGAATATGCACTTTTCATTTCTTGTACTCCACTTACATCATTACAAGGGAGGGTATCTTTAAAACCTGATATTCATCAATCCAACACCTAGTTAAGTAGGATTTCAATCATACAATGCTCGTAATACTATAGGATTAGTTTGTAGAAATTTAACCCTATCTAATGTTTATTGTAAGAATGAAATCAGTAAGCTAGAACTTTTCCTAAGTTTAGTTCCCTCATTCCCCATGGAATTGAATTTCTAGACTATAATATCTTTTATCACTGATAAGACAAATGCACTTGCATGAGCACCTAGAGTGTAGTTGCATCTGAAGACGGGTATCAATCTTCTCTTCACAACGACCTCTGAAATTTCACTTCTTTTCTCTTTAAGTGAAGATTGGGGGTCTATATATTGGTTTTTTGAGAGGGACTTTTTTTTAGCGCATAACTCCCATGAACACTTGATCAGATAATCCCACTAATACTTAATGATTATAGGTGAGTTTCTATTAATCAGACTCCTTAATGACCTCAAAATTGAGTGATTTTATGCTTATTCGATTTCTCTCTTCAAGTGGCTCAATTTGACGATGAATACATTAATTGGAGTGCATTTGATCATTTAATTAATTATCCAAGGCATTATATTGCACTTTTTCGATTTGATCTAGGCTTGATTAATTAGCTCATAGTGAACCAATTATATTCATCCTATCCAAAAGGTCAGTTTGATAATAAATTTATTGAAATTGGGGCCCATTTGATTTTCAACTTGAATTTAGAATATTTTTTTATTAAAAAATGCATTGAGAGTCACATTTGATTATAAAATTTTTTTTATATGATATTAAGCAAAATAAGGTTTTAATTTTTAAATTTTTTTTTTGGGAAAAGATGAGGGCTACACTGAGTTTTTTTAGAAATAAATATAATAAATACAACCTTAAAACACAAATGCAACAAAACTCATACCTAAAACTAAAAAAGAACCAGCATAGAAAAGAGAAGAGAAAGAGAAATGCAAAAAACCAAACAATATGAACAACTCAACACAAAAATCAACTACTCCAAAGAGTTAAAAAGAGAAGAGCAAATCCAACAAAACCAGTCAGCAGAAACATCAAAGGTTTACAATCAAAAACATCTTCATAGACCCATCTGGAAAATTCTGCCAGTAAAAATGAATGATCTAAAGAGCTACCAAGATTTAAGACGTAACAATCTAACGAGCAATAATAGAGCTCCAAATAAACAACAATTAAATCGGTAGAATGGTTAGATTTCCCTCCATTATCAAATAAATATAAATATTCAAAAGAATGGTTGAAATTTAATATGTAGTTGGAAATCATTAAAGCTCAATTAAATTGAATTATAAAGAAAATAATAAGTATAAATCTCTTCTAAATTAGAAAAATTGAAGAAAATAAAAATGAATCAATCACAAACCACAAGACTAGAGCAAACTCCATCAAGCCAACTGAAGTACAACTTAAAAAACAAGCCCAAACAACAAGTAGCAAAGCAAAATAAAAAAAAAAAATGCAAAAAATAGAAAACCAAAAACAAAGAATTAACTCGACCAAGAGCACCAAACTAGACTTCTCCAAACAAGCCAAAAACTGATTAAATAAATGGAAAAAAAAGATTATGCAAAATGAGAACAGTCAAAGAAACAAAAAGCTACAAAATAAAAATTGTTAAAATGAGAAACACTAAGAGAAATGAATTGCTAAAAAAAAACAAAGAAAGTAGCAAAGCAACTAGCCAAAAATACAATATGAATAAAGTTCAAAATTATAAATCTGCCTATTAGAAATTGGAAACAATTTTTAAACTTCAACTACTTGGTGTTAAAGATAATCAACCAATGAATATAATGAATGCTAGAAGCAACAATGGTATGTTAATTTTGCTTTTTCATATAATTTTAATGGAATCAAGAGCAAAAAGACTTAAACGAGCAGTAGATAATATTTTTTTCTTCCAACCAGCAAACCAAAAAATGAATTTTATCAATAAGCTCATGACAATCAGAGATAACCAACTCAGGAAGTTTAATAATGACATCAAAGTAATCCCAACGTAAATGTTTGATAGAAAAACCATAAAAATTACAAATGAGATGTTGAAGACTACTATCAAGGCTTTTTTAAAATAAAAAAGTAATGCCAAATTTAAGAAAATTAATATGAAGATTAGAAGCTTTTTTAAGTAAAGTTACTGAGAGTAATTGTAATAAAATTAATATGATTGGAACCGATTTTACTAAAAATAAGAATATGATTAGCATAAATCAAATGATTTATATAATTTACATAATTATTTGTAGTCAACTGATTATCAGGCATGATAGGAAGATCACCCACAATGATAGCAAAAAGATAAGGAAAAAGAGAATTACCCTGTCTCAACTCTGAAGATGATAAAAAATAATCATTTAGATCACTATTAATGATAACAAAAAAAATAAACATCAAATGTACAGACAACTATCCAATAAATGAACTTACTAGGAATATCAATCCTTTGTAATCTTTGATACAACAAAATCTTTATTAAACTTATCAAAAGCTTCATAAATATCAATTTTAGCACAAAACTTTTTGATACTATTACAAAAATTAAAACCATAAATAAGTTCATTAGCTAAAACAATACTTTTAGCAATACCACGATCACTAACAAAAGCATCTTGATCTAGATGAATAAGTTTAGGAAAAACCTTCTTAAGCCCATCACATAAATTTATTACATAAAGAAAACGATTACCTCTATGGGAAAATTTAAAAGCAAAGAGAAAATCATTTGTCACAGAAATGCCGTTATTACCAGCAATAATCCAAATATCTCCGAGCAATACAAGATCTCCCCAACAAACTCTTTGTTGTTAAAATGCATCCAAACCAACGGGCAACCGGCCCATTACAGCTTTAGTACTACACTACGCGGTAAACATGACCGTAATTGGGCTACTGACGTCATACTTACTGGAAACCCATTTAATCCTTCCCTCAGCCACTTCTCCTTTCTTTCCGCTACCCGTAAACGTCAACGCAAAACGCTTCTCCTCCCCAGTCTTCTCAAACCTCAGGCTATTCGGCTCCACCGCCACCACAACTCCTTTCGGTTCATCAACCTTCACCATATAATCAACCATCGCCTCTCCCACATTCTTCACCGTCCTCCAAACAGTCACGTTCTCCTCGGCTTCTCCCAGCGACACCAATACCGATGGATAATTCAGATCGGCCTCAGAAATGCTCTTAATCTTCGAGCAGTCAATCTTCTTTCCCGTCACGATGTTTACTTCACGACTGGTGTAGTTCAATCCACAAAGGTAAGGCGTGTAATTCTCAACTTCAGTATCGTAAACTAAACCCGGATTCATAGCCTTCATTGGGTTTACATGGCCGGCCCCAAGTGTGAAATGGTCCGCCGGAACACCGCGTTCATCCACTATCGGTCTTTTGTTTTGGTCGAATATGTCTGCGGTTGTCATTATCGCGGATTTTATCGCTGCAGCGGACCAATTCGGGTGGTTGCTCTTTATCAGCGCTGCGATCCCGGCAAGATGCGGTGCGGACATGGAAGTGCCTGAGATTATGTTAAAGGGCTTCGGCGTTGGTGGACCTATTGGAAAAGGCCAGGCTGCAAGAATGTCGACGCCCGGGCCGGTGATGTCTGGCTTCAGAATACCAGGACTAGGGACGCTCGGTCCGCGTGAGGAGAAAAAAGCCATCGCTGGAGCAGGGGATATTCCTATAATCGTGCCTTCGAAAATGATTGACGCTGTCGGTATCTGTGAATCGGATATATAGGATTTTATTTTTGAACCAGCATAAAAACTTACTTCCGAAGCCGGTAGGACGTGCAGGTTTGCTTTTATGGAATACCCTTCCTGTTCACGGTTTGAAATGATTATTGCGGCTCCGCCTGCCGCTTTGACGGACTTGCCCTTGGCAGACGAGCCAATGTGGCCACCTTTGTCGCAAAGCACCACCTTTCCCCTCACATCAAGACCGTCAAGGGAGCCGTTGCCACAGAACCTTGCCGCTGGGTTTTCTGCCTGGCCGGCGTAGACGAGCGCAAGCTGTGTGGATGTGAAGTTATTGGGTTGGTATAACGACTTGCCGGAGAAAGTCAGGCCATTACCGATCTTAACTGTTGCTGAGATGGTGCGGTCAGTGCTGCTTGCAGCGACGGTTAGGATCCATGGCGCCTCGTTGAAGAGGGTTCTGTGATCTGGGCCGCTGTTTCCGCCTGCGCAGCTCACGAATATTCCTTTCTCGACCGCGCGGTAAGAAGCAATTGCCAATTCATCTTCGAAGAAGAGAACGGAGCTGCTGCAGAGGGATATGGAGAGCACATCGACCCCATCTTCCACTGCGGACTCCATTCCGGCCAATATATCGCTCGCATGGCATCCTTCTGTGCATACCTTTGAAAACGATACAATTTAATATTTAGAAGTCGAACACGAAATAATTTTATGCAAAATTTTAAAATAAGAATTATCGTGTAATTCTCATAAAAAGACAACATTGGTTGTTTCGTAATGCATCTGGGAAAAATATGAGTTATGCTTAGGCTGCAATGCTTAGGATTTTGCTACTGTTTTAGTAGCACATGTGTGGGGTCTAATAATATTGCAATTATTTGGATTTGTGCATACACAACTTGGACTTGTGCAGTGGGGTTTGCTTCATTTCTGATTAAAAATATATGTGGGTGAAGATGAATTATAGTGTTGTCATTACCAAGGAAGTTTCTAACCATCTAGGGAAGACTAATGAACATTTTTATTTATTTTATGGATTCAAGTTTAATTTGAGCCCTTTCTTTGCTTATTAGCCTCTCTTGTTTGTAATGAATGGATGGAAAAAGTATAGCTCTCTATTACATAAATCGAACTTCCTATTAGTATGTAGTGATACTTCATGCTTATTAGCTTCTCTTGTTGTGGATTTTACAGTTGGTCTAGCATTCTAGGTTGTTGCATATTCCTTGAGTATTCTTGTGTTACAAGACTCCCTGCAGGGTGGATATTTTATTAGTTGTTTTCAAGTTAATATTTAATTTGGAACTACGAATTGTTCGATATGTCATTGAATTTATTCTACAGACAATACTTTCAGAATTATATTTTTCAAACAATTTAAACTAAAATGTGTGTATATACTGAGGACGTTACAGTCTTTGGGTCAATAAGCAACGCATTCAAAACTTTTTTTTTCAAACATACTAACAGATTCTGAAACACCAGCTTTTGGGCAACAGATTTTTAAATACAGCTTTTCAAACTAATTTCTGTACAGCCACAGTTTAAACAAACGCTCCCTAAGGCCAAGGGGAGTGGTGCGAAAGAGGTGGGTTTCATTTTTCTTATACTTATCTCATTTTTTTAAATAAATATAAAGAGTGATCTAGTGACTGTTCTGTTTTTTTTATAGAAAAATTATGGCATCTGTAATTTTTAGTTTCAATCGAAAGAAGTTCTTATTTCTCTTTTTGGATTTGAGCATCTTCTCCGTCAAATATCGCCTCCATGTATTTTCTTCTTTATTGTTATTAGAATATTATGTTAATTGTATTGTCGCTAACTAACACGTATAGAAGTACCTAAATGCAAGAATTGTGTAGATAAGTTTTTTCTCTCAAATTTATTACGTACAATTTTAGTTCTCTATAGTCGTTCTGAGTATTATAAACATTTTTTTGTTATAAAAAAAATTACTTATAAGAATATTTTATCAGTTTTGCAAAAATTTGTACATAATTGATAATAAATCGAAGTTGTTTTTTTGGCTCCTTAAAATTTTAATGTAAATTAATAATTATTTTCATTAAATATTATTTAGTTTATGTTAGATAAAATATGAACTTATAAGTGCCAATGAAGATACCTAAATAGAAAATAATGCTGATTTTTTCAAATAAAAATTAAATATCTAATTTGATAATTAAACCCCAATACATTAAAAGAAATATTAAATCAGAGAGCTCAACCAAATTCATGCCCCAAACCCTTTCCCAGAAAAAAAAAAAAAGAAAAAAAAAACCAGATCAACCAAATAGCTCTATGCGTTTTCTTATTATAATTTCAATGGAATCTTGAATTATCAGAATTGCCGGCCAGACCACTTCTTTTATGTTGATGCCAAGAGAAAAGTTACGTACTATATATACAAATATCTTTAATCAATATGTTTATGTTTTTTTCAATTAAGTCCACAATCATTATTTTAGAATTGCCGGCCAAAGGACAGAGTGTATCTCATTAAAAAAATAAAAAAATAAAAATCTGTATTTTTCAACGTACCTTGTAAATTGCCAAGTGTGCCCTCGGAGCCATTCCGATCGCCACACCCTTGGCGATGCCGAGCACTTGCGCGTCCTCCACAATTGCGCCCGCGGCAGTGCTGGCCGTGTGCGTCCCATGCCCCATGTTATCATACGGAGGGACAAGAGCTTCACTCTCCTCCAACATTCCTTTCGAGGACGCCGAACCGCTAAGGAACGCTCTAGCCCCAATGAGCTTGTTGTTGCACTGCGATGCATTGAAGTCGCACCTTCCCTTCCATTTAGCCGGCGGAGGAGGCATCCCTTCGCCACTAAATGACGGGTGGTCGGGGAAGATGCCGGAGTCGAGAACGCCGATTACGATGCCTTCTCCGCCTCCCAATCCTTTCCAGTTGCCATTGCCGGGTGCGTCCTGAACCAGGCCGAGGAAGGAGGGCGTGTGGGTAGTTTGGATGGAGAAAATACGGTCGGCATGTGCGCTGATGAAACCTGGCATGGCAGAAATCAAATCCACTTCTTTCTCAGTTAGCCGAGCAGCAAAGCCGGTGATGGTGTTTTCGTAAGTGTATATCATTCTTTTTATGTTTGATGTTTCGGTGGTGGGCGGTAGGAAGGAGTGGTACCATTGTTTAAGATTGATCAGGAGGGAAGATATTTTTTCGACGCGGATGATATAGGTTTTACGGAGGGAATTCTCGGCTGCGGAAATGGAGGGGAGAGAATGGGTAAGAAGGAGGAGAAGGAGAAGCAGCGATAAGAGGCGGAGGGCGCTGCTATTGTTCCTGTCCTCCATTAGTTGTCTGAGTTTTGGATTTGTGTACGGGCTGTTTTATATTGGGGAGAGAATGAAGGCGACATGCGACATATTTTCTTTTATTTCTTTTTAATGCGGGCCATACCTAGTCAAAATTTATAGGAAAGTCGCGTTACAAAATTGAAAATTCTAATAATATATTTCAGAAAAAATTTAGGAAATAAAACTAAAAGGAATGATAAAGAAACAAATATTAATAAAAAATTTAAAACACAAAATAAATGGAGTGAATGAAAAAAATATTATTTTAATGAACCTAGATTTCAACTAACATAAAAAAAAAATGAAATGAGAAAAAAATCACATTATGATTAGAAGGGCAAGACAAACATAATTTAATTCTAATTTCACCCTTAAAGTAAATTGATTGTTTCTATTCTTGTTATAAAAATTATTTATGGGAATAATTAAGCTAATGAAGTGTACTATCCAAGCCTTAAAAAAAAAAAAAAAACTCATCTTTCAGGAACAAAATTCTTTCTTATGATTATGAAATAGAAAAATTCATACTAAACCACCAAACTAGCAACAACCCAAAATCACACAGGGTTTTAGAGAAAAGAAAAGCCACAAAAATAAGACTCAAAATATTAAAGTTGAAAAAAAAGATAGACATAAGAGAAGAAAGAACTCACAAATAACTATCATCTAAGCATTATGTATAATTTTTTCTTGAAACAAGTAGGCTAATTAAGTGTATGATCCAAAACCTGAGAAAATCGAGGAGGAGAAAGAAAAAACTCATCATTCTAGAAAAGAAGTTTTCTCTTGTGATTATGAAATAAAAAATCTTTAGCTAAACTACAAACTTGGCAAAAACTCAACATAAAATAGCTAAACTACAAAGCTTGCAACAACTCAACATCAAATAGAGTTTCAGAAAAAGGAATAGGCTACAAAAATAAGACTAGAAATTTTTTGAAAAAAAGGCCGACATAAGAGATTAACTCACAATTAACTATCATCCAAGCATTATGTGATATTAGTATAGTATAACACTTCTTTAGGAAAATCCGACTAATTTCAATTTCTACTTTTAAGTCTCAGGATAAGTTGGATCTTCTAAATATAAAAAACATTAAAAAAATAATTTCCCTTAAGATATGTTTTTTCCCTTCAATCCAAACAAAGTGAAAAATAATTTGTTCGACAAGAAGAAAAAGCATAGTAGCACTAGGGTTCATAATGCTTTCAAACATGTAATAACTTAGGAATAGAAACTAATAACAACAAGCCTTTATCCCACCATGTGGAGTCGTTTGGATGAATCTTTTTTCTCCATTATGTTGTATTGAATGCCATATTTTTATTTAATTCTAAAAATAAGATAATTTTAATACAACATGCCATAATCTTTTTTTGTTTACCCCTGCCTTTTTAACATAAGAAAATCTAAAACATCTATTCTCCTAACGGGGTGAGATCAAATGTTAGATATTTATTGTGACCAAGCCATCTAAAGTGACTATTTCTAAACTTGTCTGCCACTAGAACTACTAAAACCCTTTCATAGATTTATTAATTTCACCTTCTATCTTTAAGTGTAAAGAAACATAAAAATAATAAATAATTAGTAAATTGATTTACAATGATTGATAACTATATTTGTAGTGGGATGTTCAAAAAAATAATGAGGGTCGACCTTCGTATGCTGCTTGCACAAACTAGAACTTCTATTTTTGAATAAAATAAGTTTTGCTAAAATAATAGTAGTTTGTGGAAACTAGATTTGATCTTTCTAAGAATAGAAAACAGGCTTAAGAGCATCCTTTAAATCAAATAATTTCTTACACCAGTTCTCATTAGAAAAAAATTATGCAGAAACTAAAGCACCTTGTAAAATATATATTAGATTTATTTTAAAATATAATATAATCAATTAATATATTGTTAGTGTGTTGAAATTTTCTTTTTTTAATTATAGACCATACTTCAAGATGTAACTGACATGAGTAAATTTTAGGTGATTTCACCTACTTTAGTTCCTGCATTTTACATGTTGTTTTGTTTAATTTATTATGGATTTACAATTATGGAAGGTTTTTTTAGTGATATACAGGTTATGGATGAATCTTTTTTCTCCATTATGTTGTATTGAATGCCATATTTTTATTTAATTCTAAAAATAAGATAATTTTAATACAACATGCCATAATCTTTTTTTGTTTACCCCTGCCTTTTTAACATAAGAAAATCTAAAACATCTATTCTCCTAACGGGGTGAGATCAAATGTTAGATATTTATTGTGACCAAGCCATCTAAAGTGACTATTTCTAAACTTGTCTGCCACTAGAACTACTAAAACCCTTTCATAGATTTATTAATTTCACCTTCTATCTTTAAGTGTAAAGAAACATAAAAATAATAAATAATTAGTAAATTGATTTACAATGATTGATAACTATATTTGTAGTGGGATGTTCAAAAAAATAATGAGGGTCGACCTTCATATGCTGCTTGCACAAACTAGAACTTCTATTTTTGAATAAAATAAGTTTTGCTAAAATAATAGTAGTTTGTGGAAACTAGATTTGATCTTTCTAAGAATAGAAAACAGGCTTAAGAGCATCCTTTAAATCAAATAATTTCTTACACCAGTTCTCATTAGAAAAAAATTATGCAGAAACTAAAGCACCTTGTAAAATATATATTAGATTTATTTTAAAATATAATATAATCAATTAATATATTGTTAGTGTGTTGAAATTTTCTTTTTTTAATTATAGACCATACTTCAAGATGTAACTGACATGAGTAAATTTTAGGTGATTTCACCTACTTTAGTTCCTGCATTTTACATGTTGTTTTGTTTAATTTATTATGGATTTACAATTATGGAAGGTTTTTTTAGTGATATACAGGTTAGCGGAGAGCATACGTGCATTTTTGAACGAGAAAAACCATGAAAAAAACAATCAGAGCTGGCGTGAGCATGTCAAAGAATGGATGCCTGCAGCATGACCGCACCGCTTTTTTAGAGGTTCGACATGATCATGCTCGGATCAGGCTTGACTATGCCACCCAATCGAGATTGCTTGCATGAATACACTGGATTTTGGTAAGATGAAGTCAACAAAACAGGAAATACTTTTGAAAAGTTCTTTCTTCCCAAATCTGAGAATTTCATTATAAAAAGAGGCCTCGGGCAATTTTTGAGAGGAGACATTGTTGACTGCTAGAGACGAAATTTGGAAGGATTTCAGAGATTCTCACTTATGATTTCTTCCTTGTATGAGGTTGAAATCCATGGGGCATTTTCGGCTCCTTTTCTCCTTGATTTTTCTTATTGATTTTGAGGAGAGATTGTATTAAGGAGAGGTTTGTTGTAGTGAAATAGGGAACAAATTATTTTGTATGTTTTTTTACTTTCTAGTTTTACTTGTAACAATCATTTTTATGGATTTGATTTCCATCATTCTTTCTGAAATTATTGTGGCTAAGTTCTTTTCCACAATTATGTGATGGAAGAATCGTGATTTTGTGATTTTCTTGGATTGTTTTCCCCATTAAGATTTTTTGAGCTTTTATGTCTTTATTGTTGTGTTAATCATTAGATTTTATTAGCTCGTGTCTAGGCAATTAGGATGATAATACATTTTTTGATCTACAACTTTTGCTTGTTAAGTAGATGAATGAAATTGTTAACTACAAAATTCTGGGAAAGAATAGACATATTCTATCAAGAGTTCGTAACCTAAAAAGGGATCACAATAATCATGTTAAATGCTTGGGGATTAAGAGAACTTAACTTCACAGGTTCTAAACTACATCTGATTTAGGTGAACCGACCCTCAATGATGCGATAATTTAGCTTCCAAAAATGATCAAATTTTTTACTTAATTTATATTTAACGGTTAGTGTGCAAAAGTGATATGTTGTAAAATTTAGAATTTATTATTAATTATTTGCCCACTAGGGGTACTGATCCTGAGAATATAGTTGTGTAAAAAATATATGGTTGACTCCGCTATGCAACAATGAATGCCAAAACAACAATGCCAAAAGCTTGATGCAATATTTTATGAATAAGAAATTTCAGCAATTAATGTTGGGATTCTACGCAAGTATACATATCGTTATTAAGTAATAAAAGACTTTCTATTTAAACCCCAACTATAGATCCCACGGGGAAGGTTTAAATTTGAAATGATAAATTTACTAGGAAATTCACAAAAAGTTAATACGAACTTACCAGTCACTAATTTCAAATGTTGAGATATTATCAGAACTAACTTATTTAACTAATAACAAAACTAAAATATAAAGTTTAAACAGTAACTACTAAACTATTAAACTATTGAACTATGTTTATCTGATACAGATTTCTTAAGTGAAAAACATTTTTTCCCACTACAATGAGGTTTTGGTAAAATTAGATGAGATAAATGGTTCAAACATGTATTGTGTCAAATAAGAGCAATTTTAATTGTCTACCCTGATATAGTGTTATAGAAAATTATTGGCTAATCCCAAATTTAGTCCCTAAATTCATGGCTAGGCTAGGAGGATACTGGCTCCCACTCCAGAGCTCCAACTTCCCTTTACTTGAAGGCTAATTCTCGCTTTAGTTTTTAAACACTAAGACGGAATTGAGAATTTTAGTCTGTCACCCTAAAAGTTCTCAAATTCTACACCCAACAAAGTAAATTTTCTTATTTATTTGCACTTAATTCTATGAACAAAGTTCTCCTTCATTGAATCAAATGTGATTGAATCAAATGTGATCAAATGTGATCCTCGCTCTGTTGTAGAACTCATACTCCATTTCCCAGATCATATATTTCACAATATACTTTAACAATCCAATTGGCTAGATCAAAAAGTAAATTAAATTCGGAGTTGAAAAATCATCATAGTTTATTTTATATTTTAATATTGGCACATCCATATTATCTCTTCATTTCACCATATCTCAGAGTATGGAGAAAGATAAAGTAAACTACTCAAACTTCATGAGAAAGATACAACAAAACGTAAATTTCATATATAAAAGAAAGTTCATACAATATTAATAAACAAACAACACTTATCTGAAACTCTTTCTCAAAGCAAATCCCTTATAG